ATGCTCATTAACTCTCTGTAAACTAGTTAAAAGGTATATCGAGAGATAGGCTGGGCAGAATTGACATGACAACCCACCCGTGCAGTCAGAACCTTTTGCTGCTGTGACTTGTGATATGAATTCTCCGGCCGTTTGACTTGTAATAAACATCAGTGTTTGACATCAAAGCTCCAACTCTCCTCGTGTCTCTCTGAGTCCTGACTCTCCATTGCTGCAGAAGTTTCCCTTACATAGGTAATTTTACTACTGACATGACATTGTGTAAGCAGCATTTTTAATGTATGCTAGAGCTAGTTTATCTACTTCTGATTTGGTCAGGTAGTTTAGTTGATCGGTAAAGGAAAGAAGAAAAGAACAAATAAAGTATTTGTGATAAAATATTTGTCACGGAGTAACAAATATCTATCAGATCTTTTTGTGGATTTCGAGTACATTTCCAATTCTTTGTTGTGGAATAGAAGGATAAAGTAATAAAATATATAATTATTATTTGAGAGGATATACTTACCTGCTTTCCAACACAATAATACACACCTCGCATACCATTGTTCTCATTTACACAAGAGCTTTTCAAAGCACATTTACCTAATTTATTTGAGACATGAGGCCAAATATAATTAATTTAGCTATATACACGCTGGTGACCACAGACTTTTTTTGAGGGCCAGATGGAAATAATATGCCCTCAAATTTGACAAACAAATGAAGAAAATATATTAAAACACCAAATGTATTGTTGGCTGTGTTCAAAGACTTCACTTTTCCAAATCTGTCGGGTTCTTCCTGCTACAAACGAGCAGAAGTAGATACAGGATTCAGGCATTTCCCCCCGGGTTTGTTTGAGTCAGATCAAATGTGAAACTTTAACATCCTTTACTTACTGACTAATGATATGATTAATTTCATTCATTCAACATTTCTATCTGCCTTGGGTGAATGCACAGAGTTCTGCAACACCATACACGTAAAAATTAAATGAATGATGGGTAAAAGATTGTTAATGTTATAAGAAACGCCTTTCCTTCTATCATATAACATCAGCTTAAAGGTCACCTATTACAGGCTGAAACAGAGGGGATTATGGGATGCTACAATGGTTTGGTATTTGGAGCCAAACACTTCAGAGACATGTTTTGTATATATCTGAGACCTATAATATATTGATGAAAAACAGTATAATAGGAGACCTTTAAAGAGACCAATTACTTAAAGGAACAGCCTGTTCGGTGGGTCAAATGTAGCAGCACTATTGCAAAGTTACTATATTTATAAATCAAGAACAACCAACAATTCTGCGAACTTTAAGATGTCTAAACCACACTTAATCTAATCTAATTCTAACAGTAGAAAATATGTTTCCATCCTTAAAAGTGTTTTTTTTGTGTAAACTTATTAATGAAGTAGAAAGTATTTTAATGATGCAACACATCAAAATATAAATGTTAACATGATATCTTATCGTTATGGTCGACAAAGAGATTTGCACGGTTTGAAGACAACAAAAAAGTTGATATACAGATGGAGAGAAATGTTCCTGGAAGTCCAGACACTTTTAGGTTGGTATTTTCAAATGCATTACACACCAGACGTATTTAAAGGTGGATATAAAATCTAATGTTGCATAACAGCTATAACACTCAATAAGGCATAGAGTTTTAGAGTTTAATCAACCAGTCAGTCAGTGTGTGTTTTAACCTCTTAAACCCAAAAACTCATGCTATGCAGCCAAACATGTTCAAACCCACAGAACTTTATTTCAATTCAAGTGGAGATCCCAAAGTGTCCAAAGACACCAAGGACACATTTTTGGGGAAATGTGATTTTTTTTTCAACCTGAAAATAATTGTATTGGAAATAATAAGGTGAATACTGCATGTAACAAATTATTTAAAGGATTTCAATGTGTGTGTATTGTATTGTGTGTAAGTAGCTTAAAACATTCATTTGGTCTTAACCAAATGTCAAGATAGGACCCTTAAAAAGGTTTAAGGGCTGAGCAGTAAAGGGTAAGGAAACGTTCAGGATAAAAAGGAAATATAGAAATGGACACTGCAGATTTTCAGGTTGTACAAAGTTGGCAGTGTGAGCATGTCAAGAGATCATTATAACACAGAAAGAAAACATAGCACTGCTGAAACAATTAGATAATCTACAGGGTCACAGATAGCAAACATACACAGGTCAGTAGAGTGTGAATGATCCTGGTTTACTGCTGCATTGCCGTTAATCTCCGCTAGGGGGCACACATGAGCAACAATGACTGCATTTCTTTATCAATAGTCAGTTTTAAGATAAAAATAAGAAGAATAAATAAGAATTATGCGATGAATTAATGGGGTTTCAACAATCTCTAAACACAACTAACAAAGAGTTGTAATCAAATGTCCTGAGAGAAATGTTTGAGTGTCATGTTTATGTCACTGGACCACAGAAGAGGTTTTTTCGATGTATATATCAATACTTTTCAGTAAATGCATCCCAGCAAAATGTACTTACTGCTACTTTTATAATATGTAATCCATTTCATCATGTGTATACTTAATGTTGTTATAAATAAATAAATATTTTGCAACATGTTTCTAAAATCTGCAAATAATTCTTTATGATTTTGTGATCAATATTATGAACACTCACAAGTTATCTGGGTGTATTTTATGTCAATCTCATACTGTATGGTGTGACAGCATTTTGGAAATATAGGATACTAGTTTTAAGGAGCTTGACCCCAAACCTCATTTGCTTCAATTTGACAGTAAAAAAAAAAGGAAAATCTGTGTTTTGTTGATGTTATAACTTTATGGAAAAGCAATACTAAATCATTGAAGTACCTTAAACATAATCAAAATCTTTATCTTGCAGACATAACTGTAAGAATGACGATGGTGTTCATTTCATCAGACCATAATTATCAGTAACTAAGTTCAGAAAAAACACTTTGGTGGTCTTAGTTGTTATTTCAGGTTGAATTTGACTAACAAACATGTGGCAAAACCGCTAGAAACCACAATTGCTGTCAATTATATCAGAAACAAATACCATACTCATACTTAAAAGGTAGGGTAGGTAAGAGTGGAGAAACCAGCTCGAGTGCGCTAGAATTTGAAAGTACTCAGCCGAAAAAAATCTGCCCCTTCCTTCAGACTTCCTTACAGAGCCCCTCCTCCAACACACACGAAGGCGCACATGACCAATGAGGGCACGAGATACATTTGTGCACAGATGGAAGGCTGACAGGCAGGTAGGCCATCCAGTTACTTTAGCCGGGCCGGCTCAGATGATTGGTCGTGCTTTTTACAGCGCCACGGCTTCCACAGATGACATTCTTTTATGTATTTGTTGTCAAAGCATTTAATATATTCATTGCTATCGGGATGTTAAGAGCATTCCATGGAGTATAACAAAAAGTGTTTCTGAAGTGAATTGAACCCCACCTTTAAGAGTTGTTTCCACACAATTAAAGGGGATCTAAAATATGTATGTGCATCTGGTTAACAAACTGCTCCAGGTGGGTAACAACTCAAAAGCAGCTAATAAAGCCTTTTTTTCTCTAAATAAATGAGGAGGTGGATTTCCTGTTCTTACCGTTATGCTGACATTGGTTGAATGCAGAATTAGACATCTTTTTTTGTGTTATACCAGCGGCAGGTATTTTAATTGGCTAGTTTGGATGGAGTCATTTCGTTTCAACATGCAAAATAAAGAGTCATTTGTGTATTGTGAAAATGGCACAAGAATGGACAAAAAAATATGGCAATCTGTAACATACCGTTTTTATTAGGGGTGCACCGAATGGGAAATTCTTGGCCGAAACCGATACCGAAAATAGGAAACAGTTGGCCGAAAACCGAATGCCGAAAGGCCGAAAATTATTAATAGAAATATATATATATAATGTATACATTTTTTACCAATGTTGTTCAGCTACCTGATTATGGAAATAGACATGATTATGGCAAAACTTAACTTAAATAATAATCACTATTATGGGTCCATAAAACATTTATTCAGCACTTTTGAATGCATACAGTACATTTATATGTCATGTATTATTGCTAAAAAAACATTATATCGCAGTCTTAGTGTCGCCAACTCGTTTCTAATATGCAAAGACAACAAATGCGTCTATGATGTATTTTCGATCAGACGAGATCTCTCTCCCCCGTCTGTGTGCGAGGGGGCGGGGCAGTTTACACACACGCAGCTGCTACATGCAGCGGAGCACACTGCGGAGATGGCGGAGAGAACGCGCTCCGAGGTGTGGTTAAACTTTACCCGTCTCGATGTGGAGAATACTTGTTACCATAAGTGCAATAATAGTTTAGCATGTAAGCACGAGCAATTTGTCTAAACATTTAGCAAAAGTGCACCGCATGCAGACGGAGGAATGTACCGGGTTCGACCGTCTTTCTAGCAGCTCTGTAGCCCCATCCACGAGTAACGTTTCCACGTCAGGTGTTATGTATGCTAGCAGCAACACACGGAGTTAACTCCATGATACAAACATGGGCTAATGATTAGAGGAAACTGAGGTATTTAGTTTGTTAAAATTTCCGCTATTCTGTTTACAGTCTGTCATCAGATTATTTAAGGGCCTTTTTAACCATTTTCGGCCGATAATTTTCGGTGGCCGAATATTCGGTGCATCCCTAGTTTTTATCAATCCATATTTAGACTTTTCTTTGTGTAAAAGTTACCATTGCCTCCCTCTACACAACATATTTATCAAAGTGCACAGAAGGCAATGATAATAAGATAAACAATCACATGAATGTATGTGGGACGATGCCAGTCTATGAAAATGTTTTTTTTTACAGTTATACAAGATATATCTCTATATGGGTTAATGAAAAACACACCTGCTTACACTACACTGATAAACATGAAGTGAGCACACAATTCATTAACATCGCTAGCTACAAGAAATTTAAAAGCACATTTTTTTGGTTGAATGACAAGGCAATATGAGAAGTCTTTGTCTCTGACGTCAAACATAAAATAACACAAAAAGGGATCCCTTTATGATGTCAGGATGTGGTGAACACCTGATGGAGGACAACGTAAAGAAGATGTAGTCCAAAGCATTTAAAGTGCAGAGGTTAAAAACTGATTTACACCAGACTGGCACAGCGCGTTTAAAACACAGCATAGATGAACAAAAATATACTTGAACAAAACATCTTTGGACAGTTCCTCCGTGTGTGTGTGTGTGTGTGTGTGTGTGTGTCCTTGCCCTCATGTCCTCTTTCAGACCGGCAGGTGGTGAGGCCAAGTGAGTTTTAACGTCTGAAATAAACAGCTACAAATTAAGAAGAGGGACTTGATCGTGGTTCTGTCCGAAAAGTTAAAAAGTGATAAAAATCCAGATGTTGGATGGAGGTCAGTCCGATGGGAGTCTTGTCTGTGACATGGGAACGTCTGGTGATAAAGCATTAAGAACAGACATGATGGTGTCTCTGTCAGAGTTGAGACAGGTAGTAGGCTGTGTGTGTGTGTGTGTGTGTGTGTGTGTGTGTGTGTGTGTGTGTGTGTGTGTGTGTGTGTGTGTGTGTGTGTGTGTGTGTGTGTGTGTGTGTGTGTGTGTGTGTGTGTGTGTGTGGTGTGTGTGTGTGTGTGGTGTGTGTGGCTCTGCGTTCTTTTTGTCTCCTCCCTTCGTCTAGAACAGCTGGATCATGGACTCCCGAGACTTGCCCACTCCGATCCACTTGACTGAGGAAACAGAGAAGCAGAGCAAGGTGTTGATTTGGGTTTTGTTGTTTTGCCACAGGGGTGTGTGTGTGTGTGTGTGTGTGTGTGTGTGTGTGTGTGTGTGTGTGTGTGTGTGTGTGTGTGTGTGTGTGTGTGTGTGTGTGTGTGTGTGTGTGTGTGTGTGTGTGTGTGTGTGTGTGTGTGTGTGTAGATTTACAGGATCAAGAAACCAGGTTACACAGGTTATCTGCGTATAAAAGGGGAGCCAGGATTCTTAATTCAAAAATCATCTAAAATAGCTTTTAGCTTTCAAAAGCAAGAGCAGGGTTGAAGATGCAACCAGTGTTTTCTCTGCCTACTCAGCTGCACCTTTCGAGACTTTGTGAACACACACAAGTCAGAGATAACAGATCTGGAACATTCTACAGCTTCCTTTAAGTAAAAGCAACAATTTATTCTGTAAATCGTTAACAGAAGAATTACAGGAGTCAGATTTTTTCAGTTGTGGACACTTATTTCGATGTCTAGAGCAGGGGTTCCCAACCTTTTTCACCCAGGGCCCCCCCCAAATGACTCCTGTTGGAATTTGCGACCCCCCAAAACGTTGAAACTTTAATTATCGCTGTTGCCGATCTGCCCCCCTGCCCAATCTGTACTGCGCATGTGCGAGATGGTCTGCCATACTGGACAACTCAGATCGGGCAGTGACAGCCGTGCCTGGTAACAGCGGACACACACACACACACACACACACACACACACACACACACACACACACACACACACACACACACACACACACACACACACACACCACACACACACACACACACACACACACACACACACACACACACACACACACACACACACACACACACACACACACACACACACACACCACACACACACACACACACACACACCACACACACACACACACACACACACACACACACCACACACACACACACACACACACACACCACACACACCACACACACACACACACACACCACCCACACACACACCCACACACACCACACACCACACACCCACACACAGCAGTAATTAAAGTTTAAAAGTCTCAAAATGCTACAACTACTGTCACAAACTGGATGAATGTGAAGTATTTTGTTAAAGGAGGATGAAAGCGTAATTAAGAAGCACTATTAGAGTGACTTTGATGGTTATTGGACTCAGGATTAATTTATTTGGATTCCCGCTGTATGAAGAAATTAAAGGACGGCGCAAGTGGAAACAATTCACAAAGGGATTAAACTGTTTAAAACACGTGCTCAAAGTAAGCCGGATTTTGGCGATGTGTTTATGTGGATTCAAAAATCGTAAATAATCTACAAAATGGAGGAGACCGATCTGATCGGAGCAACTGTGACAAATAATCCAACTGAAACCGACACGAGCAGAAGAAAAAAGAAAAATATTAATAATATATAGAAAAAATGATACATTTCTGTCTTTGTATGCTTTTATTAGCTACTAACTTGCAAATGTATGCATCATATTTATTTCAAATGTCGAAGAACAGGACACTTCAAAAGAATAGACTATGTCTGATAAAAAAAATGGTAATATGGTGGCATAGGCCTGTATAAAACAAAAATGAAAAACTGGCATATTAAGCAGGTAAATCAAATGCTTGTCTGCCATGGAACAGGTAGCAGAGAGAAGACGAGGTTCAAGTAGGTTCATTCAGCCAGGGATGGAATGTCCGGTGTAATGTGAGTGACAGCCAGTCTAAAGTCGTTGTGAACGTCCAGTGTGTTGCGTGCTTTTGTTTTGATGGCAACAAGTGTGCTGAAGGCTGTTTCTGATAGATATGTCGTACTGAATGGGAGTATAATCCTGGTCGTGGCATGCAGTGAGAGCTTTGGAGCGAGGCTTGGTCCTTTGACAATCCAAAACGTTTTAAATCCTTTTTCCTGGAAGTATTTCTTTGACAGCGAGTCAGCTTGGATGTCGGTGAGCTCATCTTCGCAATCCAGGTATTCCACATCCTCAACTTTGGCAATAAAGGGATCTAAAACCCACAATTCCTTGGAGACATACTCGTCTATGTCAGCGAACCGTGATTGCATTTCCGTTTGCAGTGCGTTCATATGGCGGATGAACTCGCGACGTACAGACACAGGCACCGTTTCAGGATTGTTTTGGGATTGTTTCAGCAGTAGTGGAAACTGTTGCAGCTCCCCCCTCTCCATTTTCCCGACCCTGTACTCCAGTTTGCGCACAAATGCATCGAGCGCCTCTTTACATTGGAGAATGTTGGACTCCACGCTTGTTTCATTGTAGAGACTGAAGATGTCGGCCAGGTATGCTGTTTTAATCCAGAATGACTCAGTCACTTGCTCTGACAGTGCGTGGTTACGAGTTTGTAGAAACTCTTCAATTTTTTCCTTCAGTTCTACAAAGCGTGCCAGCACTCGGCCGCGTGAGAGCCAGCGCACCTCAGTGTGCAGGAGGAGGGTTTGGTGCGCTTCATCCTCGCACAAGTCTGCGAATAGACGCTTGTTGGTGGGGCGACCTTTGATGAAATTGACTATTTTAACAGTTGAGAGTGTTTCTCTGAGGTCTTCTGACAGTTTCTTGCTGGCCAGGGCCTGGCGATGTAGCCTATCACACAGTGAAATATTGTGCAGTGTGGGGCCTTTTCTTTCAAGCGACTGTTAAATCCCTTGTTTTTCCCCATCATTGAGGCAGCTCGGTCTGTGCAACATGCAACTAAATTCTCATAGGAAAGATTGTGGGATGAGAGGTAAGAATCCACTGCAGTAAAAATGTCCTCACCCCGGGTGGTAGTGGTAAAGTTGACTGACATAAGAATGTCCTGCTTCAAATCTTCCCTACCGATATATTGCACATAAACGATCAGCACAGCCTCGTCTGCTACAGTTGTGGTTTCAAATGGCCCCTTTCCAAGCTTTTCGAGCAGCTGCAGCTTGCAGTTACTTGCCATCTTGTCAATTCTGTCTTTCACCGTATTGTTTGACAGTGGTACAGTTTTTAGCTTCTCCGCCACCTGCAGGCCGCAGTTTCTCAACCATCTTAATGCAAGCTGGCTTAATGAGCTGCTGTTTTCTTTGACTTTGCTATTAAAAGTGCACATTCAAAAGAGGCCTCGGTGGCCTTCTGTGCATCGCTGCCAGCCCTAACAAACGCTGTTCTAATATCCATTGGCTTGTTTGCCTTTGCAAGGTGTTGTTTCTTTATGAAAAAGTCCCGATCACGCCCGACTGTTTCTGGGTGCATGGTCTGTTGGTGTCTCTTCATTTTGCAGGGTTTCATGCTGTCGTTGGCTAGCTTCTCTCTGCATATCACACACTCTGGGCGGGTTTTGTCCGTTCCCTCCATGAAACTGAAGTTAAGATAGCTCTCTAGGTAGGTCCTCATTTTCTTTTTGATTGCAGATGAGCTGTCATCTCCTTTACGTTTTTCAGACATTTTTAGAAAAAAATATTCACCTTATGAAGTCGGTTGCTAGCTAGCAAGCGCAGCAAACTGTTATTATTATGAAAGCTGACACAGTAACGTCAATGTTGGCGCGAATCAGAGGAGTATCAGATGACCCAAGGGGGTCGCGCCCCCCAGGTTGGGAACCACTGGTCTAGAGGCCACTTTGAGTTTATTCAAGTATTTGATGGACTTGTACTTATCACTTAAAACATCACTTTGTAATCATGTCTTCTTTCATCTCCCTCTCTTTGCGGTCACAGCAATGCTTTACCTGTCTGCAATCTTTTGTCATGCACATGCCTACATCAATAAGTACTCATTCAATAAGAAAACCCTTTTAATGTAGTTTGCCTTGTGATCCAGCAGAGGGCGATCCTGAAACTCACCATCAGCTTGACCTGTTGCACGCCGTAATTACTGCTCATTTTCAAGTTTACATATTTGTATTTTGTGCCTTTGCATGTCTCCATGCTTTAATGTTCAAAAAGCTCTTTATTGTTCTCATACTGCCTGAACTGCAGCACCTCTTTTCACCCTCTGTCTGAAACCAGATGCACAAAGCCTATATAACACACTACAGGAAAGGGACATAAAATACACACCGTTTTCACACACACATGTAAATATATCCAATATGTTTATATGACCCAATATGTATGTATGTTCATTTTAATTAATTTCTTATTTTATAGTTATTTTATCATTTTTAATTTTAAATTGTATCTTTAATTGTATTAACCTGTGTGAATCTGTGCTGTCCTGTTTTTCATTCTTACCCTGTTGCTGTTAAACTACTCCACGGGGATTAGTAAAGGTCCATCTTATCTTATCTCATCTCTTAAACCCCAAAAAGCATTAATCAATTATTTACTTCTAATAAATGTGAAACCGTACCAGGCACTCCGACATGCTCCTCGATGAAGCCGACGTATTTCCGGGCGTTCTCAGGCAGATCGTCGAAGCTCCTCACTTGCGAGATGTCGCTCTTCCAGCCGGGCAGCGTCTCATACTGGACGTCCACATGCTGCAGCACCTCCTGATTGGCTGGCACAGAATCGAGGAGGAGGAGGAGGAGGAGGAGGAGGAGGAGGAGGAGGAGGAGGAGGAGGAGGAGGAGGAGGAGGAGGAGGAGGAGGAGGAGGAGGAGTAATATCACACCATTAGCTTTACAGGAGACCGCAATCAAGCAGCTATGATAACAGATCAATATGTTGCTGCCTTGAAATGGAGCTCTCTATAAATAACAGTTCTGACGGGAAGAGGCGATGTTCGACAGATTCCACTGAACAAAGAGACACATTAACTTGTTCATGATGACATTAGTCAGATCTGATGTCACATTTCATAAACAGTGTCAGAAGGGATTTGTTATGTTTGGAGTCCAATGTTCAACTCTTTTCAGCCTTGTGTTTTTCAGTCTTATCTTAATTCTGTCAACTTTTCTTTCAATGTCTGCATGTGCACACGGCCCTGCAGTCTCATGCTCTTTTACTTAAATGGGTGGAGCGTCTTATCTGCAGATGAAATGGTGCAGCTTCAATTGACTAAGACAATGGGTTTCGTTGTTTTAAGAACAAAGACACTAGACTTTTTTTAGGACCTTTCACAAAAACTAATTTAAGAGCAAATGTAAGATGTGAAATGTTAATGAGTAAGGCCCCTTCTTCCTCTCTGGATTTGAACTGTATTTGAACATTTACAGAAGCAGTAATCATTCACAAACCGGCTCACCTGGAAAAGTAGGTATAGTTTGGTTGTCGACTTTGTACGATACGCCCACTTTGATCTCTTCAAACATGTCAAGTATGTCCAGTTTGGTGAGGGCTATACTGTCGAAGGGACATAAGGAAACAGGAAGGTTATAAGACAAAGGAGCCGTTTACTTACTAACAAACTTATTGGCATCTTGCCTTAAAATAAGTGAACAAGACCAATTTGTTCTCAGTTTTAACAAATCAAACAAAACTAGTGAAACTGTATTTAAAAGAAATATGTATTGCAAAAATACAGTTTTTGGATTATTGTTCACATTTACTCCTATGATTGTCTATTAAATGCTTTGTCAGAAACATTTCCATATTCATGGTAACAATCATAAAAATACAAAAATGAAAACAATGCACGGTGAACTCACGCGGTGAAGCCGTTAATCATGTGTGCATATTTGATGAGCACCAGATCCAGCCAACCACATCGCCTCTTCCTGCCCGTGGTCACGCCCACCTCCTTCCCACGAGTCTGCAGCAGCTCTCCGATCTCCTGAAAACAAAAAAAACCGCTGTTTTTGTTAATGTTACAATAATTAAATCAGATATTCTCACATATTTTACTTTAATTGCTTACTGCGATTTGTCCATATTGCCAAGCTATGTACTGTGCATGTCTAAGGCATCTGAGTTAAACTTAGTTGTAAACCGAGTGCGGATATACTGTCCGTCTTTGTAGGAAAAATCCATTTAAATATCTAGTTTGCATCTGTATGGGTGGTATGGTACTGTGTTGAAAACGTTTTCTCTCAGTGATTGTGCTGTTATGTTAAATGTTTGTTGTTTGTTTTTCATGTATTGTGTCTTGATATTTGTCTATGTTGATGTTACACATGGAGCTGCTGTGATGCAAGTCAAATTTCAGACTTGATCTGACCAATAAAGTATTATCGTATCGTATAGTATTTGTGTATCCTCTCACATTGATCTGCTCTGAGGGGAACGCTCCGATGCCCACTCGGGTGGTGTACGCCTTGACTACCCCGTAAACCTCCCCCACGTTCTGGGGCGGCATCCCGAGGCCCGTGCACACGCCCCCCACCGTGCAGTTTGACGACGTCACGAACGGGTACGTCCCTGCAAGACATGAGGAGGGAAGGCTGGTCAAACTGAGATACAGGCTAAACAAACATGCAGCGGAAAGAAGTGGGAAGATTTGTGAAGACGAGAGGATTTCAAAGTCTGACAGTGTGGACAAACAAAAGTGAGACACAGTATATTTATATCACACTAGACATCGCTCTGCACTCTGTGTTGCACTTCTGGTTAGAGGCTAACTGCATGTCGTTGTCTTAGTACTTGTACTCTGTGCAAAGACAATAAAGTTGAATCTAATCTAAGAATCATTATTTACAGCCTTACTATATATATATATTTTTTTTTTTTAAACAGTTCAACAAGAAATACAAAATATGTATTAATAATTATTCTTTGTCTTTCTTCTATTGGGTAGATAATCCTTCTCTCAATGTTTGACTACGTTTCCCATAATGCTTTTGGGTAATGTTCGCAAATTGTCATTGGGTAAATATTTTTGTAAACGCATCAACAGTAGACCCTGCAATATTGTCACAGTATCGATATCAAGTATTTGGTCAAAAATATTGCCCAGCCCTGAGGAAGGCTTGTCTTTAACATACCAGAAAAGTATATTTTGACAAATGTCGGTTCAGCTGGTTTGCATACATCAAACCGATTAAAGGTGGGGTAGGTAATTCACTTCAGAAACACTTTTTGTTATATTCCATGGAATGCTCTTAACATCCCGATAGCAATGAATATATGAAATGCTTTGACAATAAATACATAAAAGAATGTCATCTGTTGAAGCCGTGGCGCTGTAAAAAGCACGACCAATTATCTGAGCCGGCCTGGCTAAAATATCTGGATGGCCTACCTGCCTGTCAGCCTTCTATCTCGTACACAAACTTATCTCGTGCCCTCATTGGTCATGTGTGCGTTTGTGTGTGTTGGAGGAGGGGCTCTGTGAGGAAGTCTGAAGGAAGAGGCAGATTTTTCCCGGTTGTGTACTTTCAAATTCTAGTGCACTCGTGCTGGTTTCTCCACTCTTACCTACCCTACCTTTAAGTAAGCATTCACACCAGAGCTACACATCACACCCCATTGGACTAATACCTGTAGACAGACTTGCTGATTCATGACAAAAGCAGAGAGTTCACTCAATCTCATGAAGATTCCCCAAATTCTCAGCTGTGACTTTTCTGTCTAGCATTTCCGTCTTTAGTCTAAGCAGACCCCAGGATGTGCCTGAGGTGATAACCACTCACAGACTCACACAGATATTCAACAGAAAAGGTGTGGGTCAGGAATTAAGATTTAGTTTCCACACCTCATTCCTGGTTAACCGCTCAGTGTTCAGAGAGATGTTGTGTAATTAAAGAGGAACAGGTTGAGCAGCTGCAGTCAAAATGCCCTTTAAGTTAAACTAATAAAACACACTGATGTCCGACATGCTCCAAGTCAAGATAAGATGTTTGCAAAGACATTAGCTTCACGTGAAATGGGGGAAATAAAGTTAAGGCTTGATGCTAGTGCGACTTTTGCCACATTTTCTAATCCTGTATAAATACAGCGCGTCAGAGAGAGGTAGTTTGTCTCTCAGTGTGCTGGACACCCTGATACCACCAGAGTTATTACAAGCGTGCTGTTTTGATAATAACCAGAGTTGATCTCCACTGAAATGTAATCTGCTTTGTGGCGTCACTGCTCTCAGTAATCACATGTTGCAGTGACATACATCTGGAAGATTAGTATGTTAAGTGTTATTATTATTCAAAAGACGAACATTTGTTCATGTTTGTGTTTCTGCTGTGCATGTGATAGTATCTAATCATGAAATACAGTGTGGTCTTATGTAGTTTTCATCTTCAGTAAAAGGAAGTTTGTTTTGTCCTAAATTCTGAGTTTCTATGTTGCATTTTTCTATGATTTGAATAACTTTTTACATTGTATTATTCTTTAAGAGGTTGACTCTGAAACGTACCCAAAAACTCAAAATGAAAAATAGCCTCTTTGGTTTCTAGTGTATTTGCAGTAATGTGCACTGTGCTTGTTAAATAAACGATGACTGTGGTTCTGAGTGACCGAAGGACAGAGTGCTGATTCAGACGCCGTGGTGCTCATGCACAGTCAGGTGGCATTAAGTGGCTGAACTGTGAGCGTGCACGTGAAGCACGTCGGTGACAGTTAGTAAACTTACCATCATCCCTAGTGTGAGCTTCCAGCAGGCTTTTGTAAAGAGCACAAAGCTCAAGAGTTTCAGTATCAACGGGTCACTTTAGATGCACTGAACAGCGCTTAGCAGTTAGAAAACAACATTTACCCTTCAGAGAAAAAGGTTAGCACGAAGTATACACAAGTTAAAGGGCACCTATTATGCAAAATGATCTTTTTTCATGTCTCTTCTACATCAACATGTGCCCCCTCTGTGTAAAGACATTCTGAAAGTTTCAGCAAAAAAGATTCTCTCTCTTTTTGTCCTGATCCATTTATATAAAAACCTGTCTGAAAATGAGCTGATCTGATTTTGGCCACTTTATGATGTCATAACGATGTTTTGGCTTGTGTAACTGTTACGGCTGCTGCCTTCCTGGTCGTCTTGATTGTGTTAAGCTGTGTTATATGCAAATGAGCTGTGCGGTTGCCCTGACGTCATTGGCTGCCATCTCCTGGTCCGCCCCCTGAAGATTGTGATTGGAGCACGCCGGGCCCGACGCACTCCAATCGCAGCGCACAGCCGGCGAGCACCTGCTGGAGATGACTACAAAGCCTGGAGACAATCATCACTCTGGAGGCTCTGTGATGTGGGACAGACGCCTCTCGCTAGTGGCTAGTTTGTGTGTGAATGTGTTAAACAGTAGGTTAACTTGTGTGGTCCGTGTTGATCAGTATTATTGTGATTAGATGTGTCTCGATTAGTTTAGTGTTGTGTGATTGTTGTCCTTTGCCTCAGCTGTGTTTTCTTACAGCTTCCCTTTTTAGACTGTACCACTTTGACAGTGAGCGGTTTTAGTTACTATTTAGTTTATTATCTATTTCTTTGTATGTACACAGGCTCCTTTTTGTTAGAGTCCTTCCTTTGTTTGTTTCTTAGTTAAGTCGGCGCCCTTTTGTTTGTTCAGGCTGTGTGCCTTCCATTTTGTTTCACCCTGTTATAATAAAGCCATTTATAATTATTACCAATTCCATTCTGGTGTATGTTGATTTCCTCTACCCTAGAGGGGGACGTAACAGTAACCATTAGCCAATCAGCAACCAAGGTAACCCCCCCCCCCACCTTATCACCTGAATCTCCTCCTAGAGCACCATTGTGTTCTTTTTAACCAAATCTCTCAGAGGGGCGTGGGGAGGGGCTCCTTATTTTCATCTAAAGTAACAGACAGAGAATCAGCACTTTGGAAACAGGGCTGAAACAGAGGGGGTTATGGGTAATGCTGCAATGATCTGTTTGGTGTTTCAGACAAACACTTCAGAGACATGTTCTGTATATATCTGAGACCTATAATATATTGATGAAAAACAGTATAATAGGGGACCTTTAACACTAAGTTGTTAATCGTTGCACGTGCACACACACACACACACACAGTGCTGTACTGACCGAAGTCGATGTCCAGCAGGGCTGCGTTGGCTCCTTCCACCAGGATGGTCTTGGGAGGGCCGTGCAGAGCCTCGTACATGTAATGCACCCCGTCCCTCACCATGGGCTTCACCCGCGACACATACTCCTAAAAATCACACGTCATATTAATGCAAGACGGACAAATGTAGGTATTGTGAAATAAATGTTAATTATTTATCTTTATTACCTTTAACCTGAGAAGCTCTCCCTCTATGTCAATCACTAGTGTGGGGTACATAGCCTTGTACTGGTGAGCCAACACTTTATACCTGTAACAAGCAAAGTTTGTGATTCATTTGAACTGTTATAACAGTTACATAATGTTGCCATAGGATGAGAAACACAGGAAGGTCACCAACACCACATCTTGCAATTTTTTGTGCAAAACATTCCTCTCAACCCCAAGCCCCAGAAACTAAACACTTATTATTTTGTGTGTCTGAAGAACCGATAAGGCACATTAACCAGTAATGTAAAATGTTATCTCTTTTATTGCTATACAATAAGGTGTTTATTTGAACTAGTCAGTGAAGTTCCAACCCAAAAGTTAGTCGGCCATCAAAGAGAATGACATTTTGGTGGAGGAAAGGAGGAGTAACAACAGACCATATTTTGGCCATGTTCAATCCTGCCTAAAATAAAAAAAGCAGAAGGCTCCAGAAAGAAATGGGCTTAACTTTTAATTTCAAAATTGCAACATCAGGCCAGAAAACATGAACGAATTAGACAACTTTGTAATTTGAGAGCTTTATTTCCACTAAAGAAAATAAGGTAGGTTGCATGACAATTTTGCAAAGTTTTAAAATCTGGTCTTGAAGAATTATCATAAGTTGTGCAGTGTTTGAGTGTGTGTTAAGTCTTCAAACTTTTGATTTAGAACAATGAAACCCCCTTTGTGTAACACAGTTTTTTCTTTCGGTCTGAACACCCGCTTTGACTCGGGTTCTTTGAAAGAAATGATCAGAGTTTGAGTTTCTAAAAAAACGTTCCTAGAAATATGTCTTGAATTCAAACAAGCTATACAACTGGAGCTTGATTGTACTTTGAAATGCAGGTAAGGTTTCTGCAGTTCCTCAGTTAATAAGAAACTCAGCTAAGGAAATGGACTGCAGTTACAGTACTCACACCCTCATTTGACCTAAGATAGATCATACCTACACTGTAGCTACCGGTATGCACAAATGACAATAAAAGCATTGAAACTTGAATCATTGCCCAAAGTTTTTGTCGTTGACACAGTGCAGTTAAACTATGATACAGATTTCATCAAAACCCTGTCCTATTGGCTCAGACCTTTCAGAGAACGTGGTGAAGTCGGCCAGCAGGTCACAGATCCTCAGGCCGCTGCGAGCCGCCTTGGCCGAGTACACCGGACCAATCCCCTTCTTCGTTGTCCCGAGGCTTGACGGGGACGAAAGAGAGGAGGGAGGAGAATAGTAGAAGCATTACCATGTGAGCTTAAAGGTCACCTTTTATGCAAAATACACTTTTTCATGTATTTGTATACATCAGCATGTGTCCCCTCTGTGTAAAGAGATTCTGAAAGTTTCAGGAAAAAAGATTCTCTCACTTTTTGTCCTGATCCATTTATATAAAAACCAGTCTGAAAATGAGCTGATCAGATTTTGGCCACTTTGTGATGTCATAACGATTTTTTGGCTTGTGTAACCATTAGCCAATCAGCAACCAAGGTAACCCCCCCCCACCTTATCACCTGAATCTCCTCCTAGAGCACCATTGTGTTCTTTTTAACCAGATATCTCTCAGAGGGGTGTGGGGAGGGGCTCCTTATTTTCATCTAAAGTAACAGACAGAGAATCAGCACTTTGGAAACAGGGCTGAAACAGAGGGGATTATGGGTAATGCTGCAATGATCTGCTTGGTGTTTTGAGCCAAACACTTCAGAGACATGTTCTGTATATATCTGAGACCTATAATATATTGATGAAAAAGAGTATAATCGGGGACCTTTAACACAACATTTAATCATGTTAGTCAGCACAACTGTTGTGAAACTCTTAATACTTTCAGGCAAAGTCATTATTGTGAAATGAGTGTATTTTGGAGCTTGTGAAGAGATAATTTAAGACGATACAGAATCTATGGTGGACCAGCCATGTTTGAGTGAAAATATTTTTACTTGCAGTAAATCATAGATAACAAAAGAGACAACTGTTGATTTGTATTTGAATAGTCCAATGATGACACTACAAAAAGCAGAGTTTCCACCGTCATTAGGCTTTTTTCTGCATCTCTACATACTTGAGCAGACATCAGAGAGACACAACTCGAATAAGATGTTAAAATAGAAACATTTAAATATGACAAACTCTACAAGCAGCTCTTGTAACTCGGCCTAATATCTCGGCCTCCATTTGCTTATCCTACAAGCAAACTACAGAACTGAAATAGATCCTCTGTGGTTATCGCGTTTCATCATTAGCCGATGTTTAACATGCAGTATCCAATAACCAAAGCGACATTTACCTCTAAGTATATATATAGTAAAAGTACTCCGCAGCTGTGACTATTACATTAAAAACATCATCAGTGTTAATATGCATGCTCAATGCATACAAAGCATTTCACTGTAGGAGCTGCTCCAGGTGCAGCTGTATTACTTTATTTTATATTAATTAGTTATGTAGTTAAACCGATTTGAATTGATTGTTCATTTCATTTTCTTATCATAATATACACAGACTTTAATTCTGTATATATAGTGACAGGTTTACATCTGCTTTTGTTTGAGTTAATGTTTCAAAATGTTCTTTCACTATGACTAGATGTATTCTTATGAGTTTGTTTGTTTTGTTTGTTTGTTTGTAGCATCAATACTGAACATTTCCCCTTTGTGTTCCCAGTGTTGAGATAAACTCTGGCTCAACAACGTGTGATCCGACTGTGACTTCACGTGACTTGACGCGTGGAGATGTTTGAAATCCACCAGCCGGTCAGAGCAATCTGCTGAAAGCCTATAATGACCCTGCTATTAAGGCACCCTGAGGAACATGCATCTACTCCCTCACACACACAAACAAATACACACAGAGAAACACACACACTTTCTGGCTGGTTGTTTGGGGCTTTGGTTCCTGAGCTGGTTAAGACCTTATTGAGCTTAATACTGTGAAGACTCCACAACATACCATTCACTGCGCAGGCTAATTTATTATTATAATATAATCGTTTTACAAATAGTGTTTGTTGAATACCTGTTTTTGTCTTTAAACCATAACTATATGAAATCCTTGTATGTTTATTAAGAGTCTCGTGGTATGCTTGCTAACAGGAAATTGTGGGGGTTTTTTGTGTCTGGATGACACGCTGCTGTTTAGAAACACCACCTGCTGCAGGGCTGCTACGCTCTGCCTGACCTCTGACCTTTCCTGGGATTCCTGCAGGCAGAGCTGAGATAATGTTCATGTGTGCCACTGTGGAAAGACATTTCTGTACACATGGACGTGAAAATGACTGAAGGAGGACATGTCGTTTCTCTTAAATCTCACTTAAGAATTTCATGTATTATAGAGGATAATAATATGTTAACATGGACAGGTATCTATATTGAGTGTTTCAACTTTGGCTGTTACGTTTTTTGTACTAAAATGACTAGTGGTGCACGATAATTATCGGCCCGATAATTATCGGTCCGATATTAGGAATTATGACATCATCCCGATAAACCCGATAAAAGTATTAATAGCCCCGATAATATACAATATATTTTTTAGGTAAAAAAAAGAAAGAAATACTGTGGTGTGGGTGGATTGGGATGAGGGGCGCTTGTTTTTCACTCGGGTCCTCCCGTTTTGCCAGTACTGTGGTATTAGTGGTTTAGGAAGAGGGGAGTTTTTCACAAATCCAGCGCTCCCTAACTCATGCCTGGCTGTGACGTAAATGGTGTGCAGCCGTGAAGCCAGGACAGTAAACAAACATGTCGTCGGTAGTATGGGACTATTTCAAAGTTTCAGAGTTAGATAGTTCGCTTGCTATTTGTATTAACAAATGCAGAAGTTCCACGAGGAGGGAAAAAGGCAACGAGCTATAATACTTCCAACCTGATTAGTCACCTGAAACATCGCCATCGCTACGATGTTGTGTTAAAAGCGTACGAAGACGCCTGCGCTGCTAAACTAGCGGCGAATCCAAAGCCAGCTGCAAAGGCACCGGGGCTTTTACCTATCGACGAGGCTTTTGAAAAAGGCAAGAACTTTATTTGGGAAAATAAATATGGTCACTTTGAAGAGTCAAAACTGTTCTTGGCTTTGTTTTGTTCATAGTAGTAATGCTCATGTCATTTACTCACTACTAGTCTTTTTTTTACCACCAGGTGTGCAAAAACTACAGGTACATTTAATATATATATATATATTATATTATTATCGATTATCGGTATCGGTATCGGTCTTGAGAAGCAGGAAGTTATCGGTATCGGTTTCAAAAAACCAATATCGTGCATCCCTAGAAATTACTGTAGCAGAATAGTGATATTTTCATAAATGGAGTTTAATTATCATTCGCTCACACTCTGTAAGGTTGGTGTCTAAGAGCCAACAATGTTGTTTTAATTGAGAATGCAAACAAAACGCAAACTACGGCTGATGCTATTAACTTAGAACATAGCATACATCACATTTAACAAATTAATTTGGACAATTCTATGTTAATTGTGAAGCCTTAGTGTATAATGTGTGGAACACTGTTGCTCTGTCAACAATAAAATGTACAAATCTAAAATCATCCAGACAAAGAAATGGATCTTACTTAAATTCACATCAGAGGAAAGATAATACAGCTGAAATAAATGCTTTAACGATTCAAACAACAACAAAAAGCATTTTTTGACAATCCATGAGTTGTTTTTCTCTTCAGTCAAAATACAAGGAGGCTCACAGTGTGGGCAGTTACTCATGAGATTAGAAATAAGAGACACAACTATTGCGACAGAAAAAAGATTCTAACCTCCATGTTTGATGGTGTGTGTGTGTGTGTGTGTGCGTGCGTGTGTGTAGCTATTTTTAAAGCTACAGGTTTCTTACTTCTTGCCTGCTTGCTCTTGTCTTTGCTGTTCCTGAACAATGTCAACAGCTTGATGGAAGTCAAACACTGCAGAGGAGGAAGAAAGGGCACACACACTTCACACACTCCTCAGAGTTGGCAGGGCTCACACTTCCACACACACACCTTTTTGCATGCAAACATCATTCACACAGAGGACTCACCAATGTGTGCTCTGTCGGAGATGATCAGCCTCTTCTCCCAGTCTTTTAGACCTGCACACACACACACACACACACACACACACACACACACACACACACACACACACACACACACACACACACACACACACACACACACACACACACACACACACACACACACACACACACACACACACACACACACACACACACACACACACACACACACACACACACACACACACACACACACACACACACACACACACACACACACACACGTTGAGTCTCCAAAAGCTAAAGGCACACTTTTGTTTTGTAACTTTTTCATTTAAAAACAACTCACCTTTTCCTTTGAGTTCGTTTTTTTCTGCCTCTTCAAACAGGCCTGGCAGGTGGATCACGACACCGTTGCCTGAGGTTAAAATAAATAAACTGTTAAGTTCAGTCTCTGTTTGAAGAGAGCTAGATGAAACTGACTCTCCTTGGGACAGTGCAACACTTAGAAATATCCGGTTGATATTCTGGGCTCTCTCAATGAAAACATCCTCCCCTCTGTCATGAACCTTGGAGTGACTTTCGATAGCGCTTTTAAATTTGATAAGCAGGTCAGCAGCGTAGTCAAATCCTGCTTTTTTTTATTTATTTTTTTTAAATAAGATTATTGGCCAAGACCAAGTCGTTTTTATCTTTTAAAGACCTAGAAAGGGTTATTAACACCTTTGTTACCTCGAGACTGGATTACTGCAATGCTCTGTATGTGGGTATGGACCAGGCCTCAATTAGACGCCTGCAGCTAGTCCAAACGCAGCTGCACGTCTTCTGACTGGCCACAAAAAGCGTGACCACATCACCCCAATTCTGGCCTCACTACACTGGCTTCCAATTCGGTTCCGAATTAATTTTAAAATCCTTTTATTTGTTTTTAAAGCACTAAATGGGCTGGCTCCTGCCTATATAGCCGATCTCCTCCATCGCTACACCCCAGCCAGAGCTTTAAGGTCTGCTGACCAGCTGCTGCTGATAGTGCCCAAGACCAGGTTCAAAACCCGAGGGCACCGAGCCTTCGCAGCAGCTGGCCCCAGGCTCTGGAATACTCTGCCCCTCCATGTGTGGTCGGCCCAGACACTAGGGTTTTAAATCCTCACCCAAGACACACTTCTTCTCTCTGGCCTTCTAGTCAGAGCGGAGTATGACACCTGACTATTCCCTGTGTTTTTGTTTTTTATATTTCTGTTTTATATTATTGTCTTTTATTGTGATTGTAGTCAATTGTATTACATGTACAGCACTTTGGCTCGACCAAAAATCGCTTTTAAATGTGCTATATAAATACAACTTGATTTGATTTGAGAAATGATCAATGCTCCTTTGTTCTTCTGTGTAACCGAGAAATAAATAAGTTTGTCTGTAAGCACTATCAAGTAACACCAATAATACTAAATAATGTGTAGTTGCTGCAGTACTCTGTTTTAAAAGAAAACTAAGTGGAGTTATCAATTGCTTTATAAAAACTAAATCCTTTCGCAACTTTAAATGGACAGCAGTGAGAATAAAATGCCAGAAATGCTCTCCATTTAACCATAAAACTCTACAGAGGGACTACCCTCCTGGATAGATCAATGTGCATAACATGAGTGATCTGATCATGTGGACGCACTTGCATTTTTAACATGAACAGCTGGCAAAAAGTGGAGACTTCTATAAAAACAAAAAATAAATATGGCTTTCATTGAATTAGTTTTTTGTACTATTGGTCCCATATCTGTTTGTGGGGCAAGTGCTCAAGAACACACCAGACACACTGAGCTGAAAGACTTTCTGAGTGTGTGTGCCAGCATAACGCATTAATGTAGATAGAAAAAAGAGCATTAATGTGATTGGATATTGACGGATCATACAGCTCCACAGAGTAAGAGTGCAGATCAGATGCGTTTTGGGGGGGGGGGGGGCTGGAGGCCAAGAAGTAAGAGCAAGACACCATTAGCTAATGAAGTTACTGCAGATGAGTGGATGTGATGCAGTCTGGCTCTGATCCAACACCACTCTCACTGAAGCAGCATCAACATGGAGCTCCTGCTGCGCGGCTAAAAGCAGTCGATCAATTCATAGAGAAAACAGCCAGGAAAAATGCCCTTGGAACGAGAGTCCGTGGGTAATTGTGTACGAGCAAAGCTTTTACTCGGTCACTTGCATCCTTCTCTTATTGTATTTATTTGACATGTATATATAGTTCACTTCTCCTTTCCATTACTTGCACATTTGTCACTTGCAACATCCTCTGCTATTTTATATAATGTATGTTATCTTCTTCTTGCAGTGTTTTATTATTGTTTACTTCTTCTTTATATTGATGTTGCATTGTTGGAGGAGAATGGGACTTAAGATTTGTATTGCCATAACTAAACTGTAGCTACTGTGCACATGACAATAAAGCCTTTGAATCTTTAAAACCGCAAGTCCTTCCTTCCTGTAGCGGTCAGACTATATAACCACCACGGCCCCTAGTAGACCCCCACACACACACAACATCACAGACCATAACACCCCTTGTTGTTAAATACCAACTATGTGCAATATATATATATATATATATAAATGCCGTTAATTACTGTGCAACATATACCTGGCTGCTAAATCTTCAGAACTGTTACAGATGCTTCTTTAACATTAAGCTGTCTTTGGCTCTTTTCTGCTGTAACAAATGTACATTCCCCCTCTGTGGGACGAATAAAGGTATTCTGATTCTGATTGAAGGGTGTGTGCACGTCAGTAAGTGTGTGTAGATCTAACCAATGCTGAGAGTGAATTGAAGTCTGCATTTGTGTGCGTTACACACCAATGAAGGCGGTGACCTTGGGGTTGATGATGCCGCTGGGCAGGAGGTGGAAGTCGTACTCCACCGAGTCCACCACCACTGTGTGTCCTGCGTTGTTGCCGCCCTGCAGACGAGACAGAGAGCGGTGAGACAAACAGAAACTCAGAGACACCTAATGGACGCTCTGAAACGTTGTTTAGCTGGACTGAAAGGCAGGCCGAATAGTTTGGCGAGTAGCAACAAGCATCACATACACACACTCGCCTCTGTTTGTTAGTGTGTGTGATGCTCTGTGCGGTTGCTTGGAGACTTCTGCTCACGATGCATTCAGATCTCGAGTGACATTCTCACTAAAGTGTAAACTTGCATGTCAGTAAAATGGACTGGTGTTATTGTGGATGAAGTGTTATGTAATAATGTTTTGGGACCAACATCAAGATCCTGTAAAGACTTGCTGCTCTTACATCAGAAACAAACTGCAGTTCACTCTTAAACTGCACCCTTTAAAGCCACCAGTCGCCATCAAAGTCGAACGAACATGATCATGTGCTGTTTGGCAATCCTCTGACAAACTATCCAGCCTTTTTTTTGCACAAATCAAGTCCAATCATAAACCACGGCTTTGACAGTCAATAGGCCACAAGATCATTTCTCTATTCTTAACCTAATCCTTTTTCTAGTAGTACTGCATGTTAAATTCTACGCTTTTAACGATGTTAACATATTATAATTAGCCTTTTTCCAAAAATAATTGTATCACTCATTGAATATAGCAGGAAAGAAAATGAAGAGCAGCTGATTGACCGAGTGCAGAATCGCTGTAGTTTAAATCTCCTTACAATGTTGTCAATTTTAGACAAAGGCTTATTATATTTACAGCCCTAATAACATTCATTTTCTGGTCTCAATATGTGTCTTGGCTGTTGTCGTTGTGATCGCTAAATTCGCTAGAAACACCGCTGTCATCAGGCTGGCAAGGGCTGTTCCATGCTCTGCTCAACCTCCCGGCGGGAGGCTCCCGCCTTCCCCAATGGACTCAGTAGCGCCCCCTGCTGCCGTGGAGCATGTGCATGAGCATGTGCATGTTACCACGGCGGAATATTACTTATATTCCGCCGTGAGAAGAAAAAGTTTTGTAGTTGTAAAAACAAGTTTTGTACTTGTAAAAAAAAGTGTTGTAGTTGTAAAAAAAAATTGTGAACTTGTAAAACCTATGCTGAATTTGTCTCTGAAACATGATTTATTAGAACAATGTTATACGTTTGTTTGATAGATACGTTTTTTCTTTGCAAAACTAAATGTATTAGTTTGTAGATGGTGTTTTGTATTTGCAAACCACATTGTGTTTGTTAGTGAATCATGAGGCATTTGTAAAACCTGTTTAGTTTGTTTGTGGAGTTATGGCAGGAAATTATCTCCATAGATTTAGCACAGCTGACAATGTAGATAAAGAGCAATGTGGAGCTAAGAAGGAGAACAGCGAGTCCTCGAACGGGAACAGTCTGCTCTGCTCGGCTCACAGTGAGATACTCCGCAGCTTACAGATGGAAAAGAAAGAGATGATGATATTAGCGGTGTCAAGAACACAAGCCAAGCTGAAGCAAAGAGGACTTATGCATGAAGGAAAGTATTGTAATATCTTTATTTTCTGCTGTGCAGATGCATGCGCTCGCTCCCCTGGGTGCCAATTGATCTCAGTGCGTCCTGTGACCTGTGGATGTAAATCAAGCCCAGCATGTGCTCCGAGCACACGGAGTTATTCCTGGCCACCGCAGCACCCTGAAGGTGGAGAGGGGGAACAGATGCATCGCCTTTTTAGATACTTTTATGATCCATCCCATCCCCCCACAGAACCTAACCCTGGTTCTCCTAGTGTCCCGTGATCGGCCTCTTATTTCCATCATGAGAAACTCTACTTTTATGACACTCCTGCTACTGTGCTGTGGTCTGTGTGCTGCTGTATTATTATCACTGAGTATACACTCTGAGATTACTACAAGAGGTCATAAAGACTTGAGTGGAGTCAGGTGAGATTCCTCCTGACCTCAATCATTTCCAAGCACAATATACTTTAAGGAGACATAATAACATGCTCATTGTCCATATTATAACTTTACTATTATAGTTTCTTTGATTCCTCCTCTGTTGCTCTTCCTACATTTGTGTTACAGATAACTGGCAGAGACCTTCAGACTAAAACCATGTAACCTATCTGTTTAAATGTAAATAAAAGAAGTTTGAGCATAAAACCAAAGATTTTACTTTCAATCGTGCTTGGATGTGGGGAATTGTGACCCCCATAATACGGTAAGTAGAATGGCTATGAGTTGACAAAAAAGTATGGACAAATAAAGGAGGGGTTTAGCATGACATCTGAATGACAGGCTGAGTTTCCGGGTTGGTGTTAAAGGTCCATGTTATCTGATCTGGACCTGTGACCCTTTTTATATTGATGAGTATTTTTAAGATTCAGCCAGAAAACTCTGCTCATTATTTTAGTAAATATAGTTTTTTTATAAAAGTTTAAGCTCTCACATTCAGGAACAGTTTAAATAAACAGACCTTAAATGTTAACCAAACTGTGTGACTTTTTTTCCTTCATAATTGTGAAATCTGCACATTTGCCCTGGTTGTCGATGAAATGTAAGAACATATTGAAACATGTCCATTTCCCACAGACCAGAGCGCCTTATCCAAATGTGTTGTTTAGTCCAACAGCACAACACTTTATTTAAAACTTTAATTAAATATTTTAATTTACAATCAAGTAATTTACACTGCAAGAACCAAAAATGCGTTTACAATTTTGTATAAAAAAATAAAGAATCGTTTGATAAATAATATAGTTGCTGATTAAATGTCTGTCTATTGAGTAATAGTAAGAGTAAGATGCAGTCCAATGAAGTCTGATGCAGCTTAAGTTCTCTACAGACCTTACTTGTGTCAAAGATCACAATCAGACATTGGTTGAATGTTTGTTTATTAGTAAACACATGTTGTGTATAAAGTTGTCTCCGAGCAGCAGGGAGCCATGGAGAGAACAGAAAACACCTCCTGGATACGTTTATGGTCTCAATGTCAAATCCTGATTGTCTGCAACCACCTGTACTTTTTAATTGTTGGTTTTAACATGACGAGAAAGCACTTGTGTCACTCAACTCCTGGAGGTATGCAGGATTTCTGTTAGACAGGTTTTGACTTCTGTGCATGTGAACCCTTCCATTAACCATTTTAACTGTTGGAAGATCTTGTGCACACAACATCTATTTAACAACATGTACAGTGAAAGGGTGAACAGACAGTTTGACAGCCACACCTTGGTTTCAGTACACAGCTCTGTAGCAACCGCAGGGAGTGCATCGAATTTGTGCTAAATAATTTTTGATACAAGTCAGTGTGTCTTGTCCTGGCAAAACAAAAGGGTGTTCCTCAACGTCTTGGTGTCTAAATGTTGTATAGGGATTTTTCACCATTTATATAAATTCTTAAGTGGTAAAAAGTGGTCTTCAATCAGACCTAATAGATCATGGGAATGGCCATAATATTGTACTATCATAATTTTCTTAGCCATGAAACACTTCTGCTTTTATGTTAATGTGTTCATTAATTATTATTTATGACAAATGTATGACTAGAGTAGCTTGGTAGCAGAGTTTAATATTAAAATGAACCTTCAGGATCAGATTTAGCTGATAATGTCTATGTGGCAAATATTGTTGACCTTTTATCTACCGCCATCTTCTGTCGCCACCCCTACCCTTCTAAAAATGAATTGGGTTGATTTTACAGACCAGGCCTGACAAATGTACCAACTTGGCTTCAGTCTCAAGATGCCGATTATTTTCTCTACCAATCAATTCAATGTTTTTGACTCCAAAGTCAGGTTGATGGTGAAAAGTGGTCATAAATCTAGAGCCCAAGGCGACATTTTCAATGTCCTTGTTTTTCCCAGCTACAAACAAAATCAATGTACAAACATAAGAGACAAAGAAAAGCAGAAATAATGTTCACATTTGACAAACTACCGCCAGAAAATGTAACGTTGCTGGTTAATGTAATCGACTCGATCTAAAATATTTGTATTAATATCGTATTGATTTAACTGTACAGACCTCAGTGCTGTGTGGACAGTAAACTAACTGAGGTAATAAATGAGACAAGGTGAATTATTGTGGTCCTTTATTTGGCTCCTTTTTCAATGCAATGAATAGGTCTTTACGCATGATAGATATTGAAAGTATGAAAGGGTCACTAGTTTCCACACATTTATAATTCTCATTTGTCAATAGAAATCTGTAGCTAGAAAAACAGAACACTTTTCTAATGGGTTTTCTGTTTTGAATGTTTTATTTCAAATGATTAGCTGTGAATGAAGCCACAGCTTGCATTAATGTTTGGAATTGTCAGACCATTTAAGCCACATTTGACTTTGAATTGAGTATGTTGGAGCTTAAAGGCTAATTATCAAGATTTAGCACCATGTACTTGTTGAAGCATGATATGTATATTCAATATTCCTGCCGTGCGTCTCCGGGGGTTTGTTTTTCTGGTAGCACACCCCCTAAGTTTAACCCGCTCTTTCCTTTCTTGTAACCCCAACTGTAACTTATAGGAACGCCGAAGAAACACCAAGCAACCCTGCTGGCAAAGCTTATTCTAAAAAAAAAGATCAACTGCTCCAACAGCCCAACAACCATAAACACGCACGCACCATAACATATGGGGGAGTGCCAGAAAGCGGTTTATTTTTACACGTCTCCTGCTTGACAGGACTGCTGGAACAAGAAGCTGTGAGGCTTCGGAGAATCTTTGTTATGGCAACTCGTTATCAACAGGCACAACTAATAGAACACAGATTTACGAGCAATCACAAGATAAGAAAGATATGGAGATGGGTTTAAGTTATGGTAAGATATGAGCTTTTCTCGTAGATAATTCGGTATCAGTGTATTTCAAGTATAGCTCAAATAAATTGTAGTAAAAAATGCCAAAGATAACTTCAAAAATGGTCTCTTTTACATAGTTTCTCCGTCAAAGAGCACTGACGACATGAAAAATTGCCTCTTTACTAGCCAATAAAAAGGCAAAAGTGAGCGAGCTTTTATATTCAGATTTTATTCTCAGTTTGCCAAGTCTCTCACTTCAGTATAAACACAGACTTTAGAGCAGGCAAAGTGTCAACAAAAACAACTGAGAGGGTTTGAAGTGTATTCAACAAAAAGTACTCTGCATTGTTGTGCTAAAACACAGCAGTCATGTTTCACACGTTTTGTTCCCAAGACGCTTGTTACTACCAACACAAAAAAAGAGTTATTCATTAAAGTTGAGCCAGGTTGACTGAATGCAGTGACACACATCAGCACATCGTAGACCAGTAGACTCAAATACGACCTCCACACTCCTCTACAGGCTGGCTGGACTTCAGCTTTCTTAAAAGAGGAGGTTTAAAAACTGTCACCTAAGTCACAACACAGACAACTAAAGCGCTCGAGGCAACAGTAGACCAGCAACTCTGGTTCTGCAAGGTAGAATTCATGTTTTTGTCAACGGAGTCTGGTAGTTTTATAGAGAGCATAGAGAAACTCCCTCTGAAGGGAACTTTGGGATTTTAGCCTCTGCAGACCATTTCAAAATGCACAAAAACTTGTATTACACACTACAGGAAAGTGAAAACCCCCCAAAACATAATAGGTCCTCTTTAAGGTTCCCATTGGAGCGGGCTGTCTGACAGCAAGGTAAAGCGGTGGTGACAATATTCTAAATATAGTGTACATTTAAACTGATATGGATTTTTCCAGGTGGCTAAAATACATTTGCGGCAGCCACTATCTGCAGCAGTTTATTGGCTTGCTTCTGTGCTGATACCGTCTCTACACTGAGGTCATGCTGACAGCTATAATACACTGACTATGGATAAGTACAACACCTCTTAAATTACATTACATTACATTGCATTTAGCTGACGCTTTTATCCAAAGCGACTTACAATAAGTGCATTCGACCAAGAAGATACAAACTTGAAGAAAACAGAATCATATAGGTACATCAGGTTTCATAGAGCCAAACATTTCAAGTGCTACTCAACTGGTTTTAGATAAGCCAGTCCTTTATTAGTATATAAGTTCTTTGTTAGTCATTTTATTGCTCGAAGTGGAGTCGAAAGAGATGAGTTTTCAGTCTGCGCCGCAAGACGTGTAAGCTTTCTGCTGTCCTGATGTCAATGGGGAGCTCATTCCACCATTTTGGAGCCAGGATAGCAAATCCACGTGTTTTTGCTGATGGGAAATTGGGTCCCCTTCGCAGTGCGGGTGCAGCGAGCCGTTTGGCTGATGCAGAGCGGAGTGCACGTGCTGGGGTGTACGGTTTAACCATGTCCTGAATTATCCTTTTAGTATGTTGTTCAAGACCAACACAAAACAAGGGACCAGTCCTTCATCAACCGCTTTTCCTGACTGTCTACCAGAGACTTAATCTTCCCAGTCAACAGTGGGCAAAGGGTTGAGTTAGCCCGGCCCATGACATCATTTCAGCGTCTCTAAACCACCAGTTTTGCATGAGAAAACTAGACTGCATGCAAATTCAACATCACAAAGTGCCAGGAGTCAAACCACACTGAGCCAACGTGCCAGAGATAAAGCCAAGTGGAGGGGTTGCATGGATGTCATTAAAACACACAGCTTGATAAGATAAAACAACAACAACAACAACAACAACAACAACGTCATTGTGCTGAAATAGCCAGAATCAGAATTCCTTTACTTGTCTCACAACTGGGAAATGTACGGTATTACAACAGCAAGAGTAAAGTGCAGATTAAGTAAGAAGAAGAAGTGAAGGTGAATAACAACTTGCTGCACAATCACATCTCTTTATACTTACATCTGTTAAACAGGGAGCCTCTCAGTCACAACTACGCACGTTTTAAAACACCCCTTATATCCTGATAATAATTGGTTCGTTCATCTTGACAAAGTTCAAAATATGTTGTCAACAGATTATGTATGTTGTCTGGTTTTGCACCATGTCCCCTCCCAGCATGTCCAAAATGATCAGGTGGTGCATGTATGGGCAGGTCTAAAAACCACAGTGTGTAGTGTTTACCGAGGAAGTGACGCCTGCAGGGAGGAACATTTCAGAGGAATTCACAGGGCAATTTAGGGCTATTTTGACCCCCGATGTTTGAGTTTTAAAGGCATTGTTATAACAATGACAACATGTCCACCCCTAAATTGTGATTAATGGTGCAAATAGCCTGAATTACGGGGCAATTTTGCCCTTTACCCTCTAAAATGATTCTGACACTGAACCAAGACTACACAAAGCAGAGAGAGCAATAATCGGAAGAATTGACACTGAACATTTTTGACAAAGCATTTTGTGATTTAGCTTTTTCCCTGACCAGTCAAAAAACGAATTTGTCATCTGACTAACACCATAATATCTGATTAATTCGCACAACTTTTATGTAGATAAAGCAGCATTCAGCTCAAGGTAAAAACCAGGATAATGCTTTGACTAACACCACAGATGACACAGTATAAAATGAAACATCAGCTCCCATGCAGAGTGAATAAAAGCCTGCAGCCAACAGTATTGGAGTCCCTTTGCTAGCTCTCTGACGCACCAATGGAGAGCACCACAGCCCGGTCAGAAGGGATGCACCTGGTCACTTTAGTTGGCCAAAGGTGCCTGCAGGATTTAGTCATGTGCACGCGACAGGAGTCATGATCACAGACATTAAAATGTGTCAGAGGAGCTCAAAGCAGCTAGCAGGGATTCAAGGTGACATTAGCAAAACATTGAGCAGATTCAGAAGACAGTGAATGAGATGCTCGCTATCTACTATGAGCATGATCTCAAATTTAAGAGAGGGGTAACCAGATTAATGCATGACAAGTAAATGCATCATGAAGGTAGTTGTATGAGTGGGGACCAACCTGACATCTGCACACCATATCCGCGTTTTGTGCCAGAAGATCCACAACTTTCCCTTTCCCCTCGTCGCCCCACTGAGCTCCGAGCACCACGCTGACCCTGTTGCCCACGGCCGGCCTCAGTGCCCGGTCAGTCGGGCTGTCGCCACCGTTTTTGGCCCCGGAGGTTTCCTGACTCTCCCACATGCTGCTGCTCGCTGCCTGACTACACTTGTGCGCCTTTTCGCACCGTGCTGCTGCACCAAAGATAAGTCTCCTCCTTCTTCTACAGGTCTATTGGAAGATTGCGTATACTACTTCCAAGGTGCATACTGACACCTACTGTATCGGAGGAGGACAAATAAATAAAGATTAATAGATAAGATCAGAATAAGGTTTATTACCAGGTAGGTTTAGGAATTTCACTTGGTGTCGTGGTGCATACATAAAACAAGAATTAAAAACACAGGTAGAGAACTAGAAAAATATTTAAAATAATACAAAAATATAGTAAAATATAACAGTATTTACATTGCAATGGGATGGAATAAAATATGGAATAAAAATCGGCAGTAATACAAAATATTGTTGTACATTGTGTGCAATGTTAACCCTTAGATGCATAAGTGGGTCTTTGTTTACCCGGTGAGGTGGTTTTCTTAGAGTATCTTTGTAATTACATTTTTTTATCATTTCCTATTCCAGCTATTCCTCAAAAAACATGTTTTGGATATCATACCATTCACATTTTAAATTTAAATTGTATACATTTTAAGAAATTGTAGTTTTTGTATTACTACCCCAAGCTTCCATAAGTGGGTCAAAAATGACCCGCATGCATTTTCTGTGGAATTTCGTTTTTTTTTCAAAATGTAAAAACAAATTCGAAAACTCTAAATAGTGAAAAATTAAATATAAAATATTTCTAGTGTGAACCAAAATATAATACAAAATATTATACAAGTGACTTTTCTTAACCAAAATGACAAAAATGGCATAAAAACACATACTATTCTAATACGGGTCCTTTTTGACCCACTTATGGAAGAGTGTGGGTCCAGTCACTCGTGCATCTAAGGGTTAAGAAAAATGATAAGATAAGATAGTACTTTATTGATCCCAATTTGGGAAATGTTTGTGTTGCAACAGCATAAAAGACATGGCATTGTACAATACAAATTAAAAAGACTAGAAATAAACAAAAAAGTAGAAAATATACATGTTGAATTTACATAGGCCTATTAACAATAACCAAAACTAAATATAAAGCAAGTTATTATATATATATATATATATATATATATATATATATAAGTATGTGAGGGATGGAATATTAAATATTAAACTGAATATATGAATATAGTATAATAGTACAAATAATTTATGTTTATTTTATTTTGTACATGTATTTATTTGTATTCATTTATTTCTTAATTCACTTTATTGATCCCAATTTGGGACATTTTCTCGTCACAGCATATTCAAACAAGGCATTGCACAATATTTGAAAATGGAAAAGGAGTAGAAAATAAAAAAACATAAAATAGATATATTCTCATATATCTCATTATTATTTTTTTGTCTCACTCTCTGAATTATATTTCTTGCTGTGCACTTTTCCAAATTAAGTATAATCTGGATTGAATACCTCTTGTTATGATATCTTCCTTTAACCTGTTTAACCTGACCTGGCTGTTAGTCTTTTATTTGTTAATTGTCAACTGTCATAGGGAAAACCATATCTGGATTTGCACACGTAACCCTGAACAGTTTAACACTGTAAACAAATATACACACACGTCGTATAACGTAGAGGCCTATCCTTAAAAGCTTGCCTAATATGGTCACCAGTTTTCTTGGTTCACAAAAGGTCCGTATACTTTTTGTCAGTTTGATTTTTCGTTTTAAACAAAAGCCAAAAAACGGAAATACCAGCCTTTTTCCGTTTTTTCGTTTTATATTTAAAACGAAAAAACGGGAAACCAAAGCCGTTTTTCCGTTTTTGTTGTCAGAATAAAAAGACGGATAACGAGAAAATCTGACCAAAAAAAGTCTGTACGTTTTGTTAGGTAATACACTGATTATGGATATATACCACACACTACCCCACTTCAAAAGACCAGAACTATCCCCTTAAGGGCAGCTGTTGATGTTCACAACAACAAAAAACGCATGCAGATGGTTGTAGTCTGTAGCCAGACAGTGGTAGATCTGGCTGTGGTGGAGCATGGTGGTGGGCAGCAGTGTGACTTCTAGCTGTCATGGTGATGTTCATATGACAAGGGACTGCCAGCTTGAACTTTACCGAGAGCAGAGTCCACTAGTGGCACCTCACAGGGATACCTATGTTGCAGAAGCAGCGGTGAAGTCCTTGTAGATCCCTGGCACTTCGAGGGCAGACAGATCCAGCAGCTCTCAGCTCTCAGAGACATCAACACATAAACTATTCTGTGTGCATAGCTTACTTTCACATAACTACTAATCTCTCACTTTACTCTCTCTGACATTGTTCTCTGCTTTGGATTTGTGGACATCCCAGCCATGTTCTCTACCGGGCCTGGTTTTACACACTGTGGGTTTAAGCAAGATATAGAAATGATGAGACATGATGAGTGTGTAGTTTTAGCATTTGAATTACAATGACATTATTCTCAGACTTGCCATAGTTCTTGGTTTGTACCACTGCTGCTCTGTAGAGCTGAGTACTGGGGACCCACTGGGAGTCATGTGACTGGAGCAGGAGAGTAACACACGTCACACCTGCAGCCATGATGCTCCAGCTCAACGGGGGTCGAGTCTTTCAGCCCCACCTGTAAGAAGAGAAACAAAATAAATACGTATTCAGTTTGCTTTGTATTATTTATTTTATGGTAACATTTTGGTTTGATAACATTGTGCTATTTTAAGGAGTAAAAAATAAGTCATATCTTTGTTCCTATATGACTTTGTTCTTTTCTATACTTACAACTTCTTATACTGATATGAATTGATTTACTTTTTTTACATTACATTACATTGCATTTAGCTGACGCTTTTATCCAAAGCGACTTACAATAAGTACATTCGACCAGGAAGACACAACCTTGAAGAAAACAGAATCATATAAGTACATCAGGTTTCATAGAGCAAAACATTTCAAGTGCTACTCAACTGGCTTTAGATAAGCCAGTCCTTTATTAGTATATAAGTGCTTTGTTAATAGTTCTATCGCTCGAAGTGTAGTCGAAAGAGATGAGTTTTCAGTTTGCGCCGGAAGATGTGCAAGCTATCTGCTGTCCTGATGTCAATGGGGAGCTCATTCCACCATCTTGGAGCCAGGATAGCAAACCCTGATGGGAACTTGGGTCCCCCTCGCAGCGAGGGCGCAGCGAGTCGTTTGGCTGATGCAGAGCGTAGTGCACGCGCTGGGGTGTACGGTTTAACCATGTCCTGGATGTACGAAGGGCCAGATCCATTCGCAGCATGGTAAGCAAGTACCAGTGTCTTGAAGTGGATTCTAGCAGTTACCGGAAGCCAGTGAAGGGAGCGGAGGAGCGGAGTGGTGTGGGGAAATTTAGGAAGGTTGAAGACCAGACGAGCCGCTGCATTCTGGATGAGCTGCAGAGGTCGGATGGCACATGCAGGTAGACCAGCCAGGAGGGAGTTGCAGTAGTCTAGGCGTGAGATGACGAGAGCCTGGACCAGAACCTGCGTCGCTTTCTGTGTCAGCTGGGGACGTATCTTCCTGATGTTGTAAAGCGTGTATCTGCAGCAACGGGTTGTAGCAGCTATGTTTGCAGTGAAGGACAGGTTGTTATCTAGGGTCACACCCAGATTCCTTGCAGTCTGAGTCGGGGAAACAACTGAGGTGCCGATGTTGATTGTTAGGTCAAGAGTGGGACAATCTTTTCCCGGAAGGAAAAGCAGCTCAGTCTTGTCAAGGTTGAGCTTGAGGTGATGAGCAGACATCCACTGAGAGATGTCAGCTAGACAAGCAGAGATGCGTGCGACGACCTGGGTCTCTGAGCGGGGAAAGGACAGAATTAATTGGGTGTCATCAGCGTAGCAGTGGTAAGAAAAACCATGCGGGCTAATGACTGATCCGAGTGAGTTTGTGTACAGGGAGAAGAGGAGGGGACCAAGAACAGGGCCCTGAGGGACCCCTGTAGTTAATTGACAAGGGTCGGACTCAGACCCTCTCCAAGTCACCCTGTAGGTACGGTCTTTGAGGTATGAGGTGAGGAGGGAAAGAGCAGAGCCTGAAACTCCAAGTTTTTGGAGAGTGCGAAGGAGGATCTGATGATTCACCGTGTCGAATGCAGCAGACAGGTCCAACAGGATGATGACAGAGGAGAGGGATGCTGCTTTGGCAGTGTGCAGTTCCTCAGTGACAGCAATGAGAGCAGTTTCTGTGGAGTGACCTGCCTTGAAACCAGACTGGTGCGGATCCAGAAGGTTATTCTGATGTAGATAACAGGAGAGTTGTTTAAAGACAGCGCGTTCAAGTGATTTAGGCAGGAACGGGAGGAGAGACTACAGGCCTGTAGTTTATAACATCTGACGGGTTGAGAGTGGGTTTCTTTAGGAGAGGGTTTACTCTTGCCTCCTTGAGACTGTTTGGAAAGTGACCAGAAGTTAGAGAAATGTTGATGAAATGGGTGAGAAACGGTAGAATATCAGGAGCGATAGTCTGAAGGAGGTTTGAAGGGATAGGGTCCAGAGGACAGGTGGTAGGGCGGGCAGAGGTAATGAGGGTAAGAACCTCACTTGGAGAGAGAGGGGAAAAGGAGGTTAGTGTGTTGGTGGAAGGAGGGTCTGGTGACCCAGCGGTGAGTAAAGGTGAGTCAGAAAAAGAAGAGCGAATATCATCAACCTTTTTTTCAAAGTGGGTATCAAAGTCGCTTGACAGAAGTGAGGAGGGGGGAGGGGCTTTTGGAGGGTCCAAGAGGGTGGAGAAGATGGAAAATAGTTTTTTAGGATTGGAATAGGAAGATTGGATCTTATCTTGTGTTTAGAGTCGGAGAGGTCCTGATAATTTATTCCGGTAAAATACTCTGACCTACTAATTGACCTTTCCGAAGTTATTGAGTCTATGTAAGGTTGCTGCTTGGCTCAGATCCACCAACGTCAGCAAGATCTCACCTCTATAACTCCCCGAAGAACCTAGGTTCAATTAACTGCTGTTTCAATTCAGACAACTCTTTTTTAATCTGTTTAAGGGATCCCGAAGGATTTTGATATCAGTAAATGGAGTGTGCTCCTACCTAAGTGTGTGTGGCAGGGTGCAGTCTTACCTTTGAAGCAGGAGAG